ACACATATCTTCTTGAAATGGATGCCTTATTTTTATACTTGTGTATGGTGTCTTTAGTTTTACTGAAGTTTTAATATAATTGAAGTTGTCAGTATTTTCCTTTGTGGTATTGTTTTTTGGATTTTGCTCAGGGAATGCTTTTCTGCCTTGAAGGTATAGTCTCCTTAGTTTTAATTTTGGTAGCTCTAAAGTTTTGCTTTTCACATCGAGGGATTTAATCTACATGGTTTTGCTTCTTGTGTATATTGGGATTGAATTGATATTTTTCCACACAGGTGTTCGCTTGTCCCTGTGTTACTTATTGAAGAGTCTGTCCTTTCCCATGGATTTGTAATGCCAATTTCTGCCATATAACAGTTTTTCTTATTTTCATGCGTTTGTTTCTGGGCTCTCTGTGTCTTTTTGTATATTTCTTTTGGATTAGCATAGCGTGCTGTTTTAATAATAAGTGTAGTAATAAATTTAGCTTTAGGTAATGCTATGGGCTGAATATTTGTGTCCTCCCTAAGCTCATGTGTTGAAATTGAAATCCTGGTCCCCAATGCCTTGGTATTAGGAGGTGGAGCCTTTGGTTGGTGATGTTCCTATAATTAGGAATCGAATTAGTTAGTGCCCTTATAAAAAGGCATGAGAGAGTTTGCTTTCTGTCTCTCCATTCTTTCCTCCATGTGAGAAGTTGACAGTGGAGAGAGTTCTCACCAAAACCTGAGCATGTTGGCACTGTGAGATCGGCCTTCCAGCCTCCAGAACTGTGAGAAATCAATTTCTGTTGTTTATAAGCCACTCAGTCTCTGTCACTTCGTTATAGAAGCACAAACTAAGACAGGTAGGATGCGCTCTTCTACCTTGTTCTTTAAAGTTGTGTTTGCCTTTCTTGATTCTAAGTTCTTCTATAAGTATTTTTTTTTGAGGTAAACTTTGTATAACATAAAATTAACCATTTTAATGTGAACAGTTTAGTGGCATTTAATACATTCACAAGGTTGTGCTACCACCAACTCTATCTAACCTAGTTCCTAAACATTCTCATATCCCAAAGGAAACTTCATACCCATTAAGCAGTTACCCCCCTCTCCCTACCCTCCTGCCAGCCCCTAGCTAACCACCAGTCTGCTTTCTGTCTCTAAGGACTTACCTATTCTGGTAAAAATTACTACCTGTGTGGTAAATATTTCACATAAGTGGAATCATGCTGTGTAAGACCTTTTGTGTCTGACTTCTTTCACTTAGCTTAACGTTTTTGAGACTCATCCAGTGCGCCATTCTTTTTTATGGCTGAAGAACAATTTGTTCATGCATTCACTCATCTGGCAATGGACATTTGGGTTGTTTCTACCTTTTGGCTACTGTGACTAGTGCTGCTATGAACATATGTGTGAATGGATTTGTTTGTGCTCTCCGGTGTATACCAAGGAGTGGAATTTCTGGGTCGTATGGTGAGTCTATGTTTAACTTTTTGAGGAACTGCCAAACTGTTTCCCATGGCAGCTGAATCATTTTACATTTCCATCAGCAGTGTCTGAAGGTTCCAATTTCTCTACATCCTTGTCAACAATTTAAAAACAATTATATCCATTCTGTGAATGTGAAGTAGTAGCTCGTGGTTTTGATTTGCATTTCCCTAATGACTAATGATGTTGAACATCTTTTTATGTGCTTGTTGGCCATTTGTATATCTGTTTTGGATAAATGTCCATCCAAGTCCTTTGTCTAATTTTAAAATTGGTGGTTTGTATTTTTGTTGTTGAGTTGTAGGAGTTTTTTATATCTTCTTGATACTGGACTCCTGTGAGATATATGGTTTGCAGATATTTTCTCCTTTTCTTTAGGTTGTCTTTCACTTTCTTGATATATCCTTTGATACAAAATGTTTTTAATTTTGATGAAGCCTAATTTATTTTCTTTTGTTGCTTGTGTTTTTGATGTCATATTTAAGAATCCATTGCCAAACCAAGGTAATGAAGATTTACTCCTGTTTTCGTAAGACTTATGATTTTAACTTTTACATTGAAGTTGTGGAACCATTTTGAGTTTTTGTGTATGATGTCAGATAGGGCCCATCTTTATTATTTTGAATATAGCTCTCTGGTTGTCCCAGCACCATTTGTTGAAGAGACTATTTTTTCTCTGTTGAATAGCATTGGCACCCTTGTTGAAAATCAGTTGGCTATACATGTGTGAGTTTATTTCTGGATTCTCAGTTCTGTTTCATTTGTCTGTATATGTTTATCTTTATACCACTACCATGCTGTTTTTATTACTGTAGCTTTATAGCAAGTTTTGAAATTGGGAAGTGTGAGTGCTCCATCATTGCTATTCTTTTTCAGTATTGTTTGCACTATTTCAGGCCACTTGCAATTCCATATGAATTTGAAGATCAGCTTTTCAATTTCTGCAAAAACAGCTATTGGAATTTTGATAGAGATTGCATTGAATTTGTAAATCACTTTGGGTAGTATTACCATGTTAACAATGTTGTCTTCCAATCCATGACCATGGGAAAATCTTTTTATTTTTAAGGCTTCTTTAATTTCTTTCAGCAATGTTTGTACTTTTCAGTGGACAAGTGTTTCACCTCATTGGTTAACTTTATTCCTAGATATTTAATTATTTTGTATGTTACTGTGATTGGAATTGTTTTCTGATTTCCTTTTTTTGACTTTTCATTTCTGATGTAGACAAACACAAGTGATTTTTACATCTTGATCTTGTTACCTCAACTTTACTGAATTCATTTATTAACTTTAGTAGTCATTTTGTGGATTGTTTGGGATTTTCTGAATATATAGGATGATGTAATCCATGAATAGAGATAGTTTTGTTTCTCTGTTTCCAATTTGGATGCTTTTAATTTCTTTTTCTTGCCTAATTGCTCTGGCTAAGACTTAGAGTACAGTGTTGAATAGCAGTGGTGAAAGCTGGTATCGTTGCCTTATTCCTGATCTTTAGGGGAAAGCTTTCAGTCTTTTACCTTTAAGTATGATGTTAGCTATCAGTTTTTCATGAAGTTCTTTTCTATTCGTAGATTGCTGAGTATGTTTATCATGAAAGGGTGCTGTATTTTGTCAAATTTTTGTTTGTTTGTTTTTTGCATTGGTTGAGATGTTATGTGTTTTACTCCCTTTGTTCTACTGATGTTGAACATTAGTAGATTATTGTAATATTATATTGATTGATTTTCTTATGTTGAACCACCTTTGTATTTCTGGGTAAAGTCTACTTGCTCATGGTGTGTAATCGTTTTAATATGCTGTTTGGATCAGTAGTATTTTGTTGAGGATTTTTGCATCTATATTTGTAAAAGACATTGGTCTGAGTTTTCTTGTGGTGTCTTTGTCTAGCTTTGCTATCAAGATAATATTAGTTCATAGAATGAGTTAAGAAGTGTTTCCTTCTCTTCTGTTTTTTGGAAAAGTTTGAGAAGGATTGGTGTTAATTCTTTAAGTGTGGTAGAATTCACCCGTGAAATCATCTAGTCCTGGGTTTTTCTTTGTTAGCAGGCTTTTGATTTTTGATTCAAGCTTTATACCTGTTATAGGTCTATACAGATTTTCTATTTTTTCTTGAGTTGGTTTTTGTAGTTTGTGTGTTTCTAGCAGTGTGTCCAGTTCATCTAGGTTGTCGAATTTGTTGTATAATTGTTCATAGTATTCTCTTTTAATCTTTTTTTATTTCTGTAATGTCAGTAGTAATGTCCCTATTTTTATTTCTGATTTTAGTTATTTGCATCATCTGTTTTTTTTCTTTGTCATTTAGCTAAAATTTGTTGATCTTTTCAAAGAACCAATTTTTAGTTTTGTTGATTTTCTCTAGGTTTTCTATTCTCAATTTTGTTTATCTCTACTGTAATCTTTATTGTCATTTACTCTCTGCTAGCTTTGGGATTAGTTTGCTCTTTTTCTAGTTCCTTAAGTTTTAAAGTTACATTGTTAATTTGAGATCTTCTTTTAATGTAGGCATTTACTGCTATGAATTTCCCTCTGAGGACTGCTTTTGTTGTACCCCATAACTTATGGTATATTGTATTATTATTATTATTTTTTTTAAAGATTTTTTTTTTATTGGGGAATTAGGAGATGGGAACAGTGCTGGGGAATTGAGGGAAGGAGAACAGACAAGTTGCTGTCCTTTTGTTCTTCAGTCTAGTTGTGGAGGACATTGCTTCACTGGAACAAGTTGGCACCATCATTGCGCTCTTCCCGGGTGAGGCAGATCAGTCGCCGGCTTCTGGACGGCCACTCACTGCAGCTGCTGGCTGCTCACGCTGGCTGCTGGCTACACACGGTAGCCCATGGCAACCCACTGCCACAGGGGTTGCAACCTATGCCGTCGCTGGCGACTCACGGCAGCGCAGCTCCAGGTCGAGCTGTTGTTCAGCATCTTAGCTGTAGAGGGCAGTGTCACTGGCCCTCATATGTGGGATCCGAACCGGGGCCCTCTGGCATCCCAAGCGAGTTCTTAACCGTCGCGCCACTCGGCCGGCCCGGTGTATATGTTTTTAATTGTTATATCTTTTTGATAAATTCACTTCCATAACTATTTTAGAATTAGGTTACCAAAATCCCATTCTTCAGCTTTCTTGTCTCCCTTTTGTAGTCCCTATTGGTTGAACCTAATAGGAAACCAACTGACAAAAGAGAGGTAATTTGTAGAGTCTGAAATTTGTAAGTTTCAGAATCATGGAGCAGATTAGAAAAGAGTGGATTTGTCGTTGAGGAGCTCGTTTTACTCACTGGTGCTAGAAACCTTCCTTGTTTTTAGTGTATGGTCTTCAGTTACGTCTAGATGAGCAGTCAGTGGAGTAGTCTCTGAGGGACCTTTTTGTAGAACTGAAGTTGAATAGCTAGCAGCTCACCTCACACAAAACGGATGCCTGTTGGGATAAGCCTTTTCTCTGGAGACCCTGATAGTTGGGGGAGGAAACTTTTAAATTTTCTGTTTAAAGGTGGAAGTTCTGAAGGGTCATTCTAACCAGTCTTTTTTTCCCTCCTCCTCTTAAGGGAAGAAGAGGAACGCTTGAGAAATAAAATTCGAGCTGATCACGAGAAGGCCCTGGAAGAAGCAAAAGAAAAATTAAAAAAGTCGAGAGAGGAAATCCGAGCAGAAATTCAGACAGAGAAAATTAAGGTAGTCCAAGAAATGAAAACAAAGGAGAAAAAGCCACTGCCACCAGTCCCTATACCAAACCTTATAGGAATAAATGGTGGAGATCCAGAAGATAATGACATCAAAAAGAAAAGGGAAAAAATTAAAGAGGTAATAAGCTGAGATTTATGATATGGAGTGGTATGAATATACATTTGACTGGAGATATACACACGCGTGCGTGTACGCGCACACGCCCCATCTGGTGGTGCACTGTCACCTTGTTTGTTTCTGTGCCATAGTTGTAGTTCAGTTTCCAAGTTGGCAGTGAGGGCTAGAAATGTCTCTTTCTTCATATGGATTATAATATAATTATTGGACACTTAAAATTTTGATATAATGTTTGGATGGCTACATCACTCAACCCTGTATTCAGAGATCTTTCTGATATTCAGCATTTCATGAATAATGTAGAATAGATCCATAAATAATTTATCAGTGAAGAGAAATTTCCCAAGTGTTTAGTTGTAAGGGACTCTGTTAGATGATGTGCACATCTCCTCATAAACATGCTTCTGAAGAGTTAGCACTGTATCTGCCATCTTTGAAGGAACATGCCATGAAACCCAGTAACTACACAGCAGGTTAAGAACGCATTCCTTCCAGAGTGTCTCAATGGATTGAGCAATGGGGAGGGATTGCCCTCAGAATTCTTTAAATTTGTTTATTCACAGAAGCCTTTCAATTTATTCTAGGAATTACTTGGAGATAAAGAGAAGACCAGACGGGGGAAAATCTAGTGACTATTTCAGTTGAACTTTGTTAATTAGAACTCCTGCTAATTCTGGGTGGAGTTTGCATTTGTACTGCCTGTGAAGAAGATTTTGGCAGTGTGTAATAGCATCAACAGTATTTCACAGGCATTGTTTATCATCAAATAAGACAATGAATTTAGTTCAAATAGTCAAAAATCTATATGCATACAGTAAAACCTTGGATTGTGAGTAACGTGGTTTGCGAGTGTTCCGCAAGACGAGCAAACATTTCTAATACATTTTAACGTGGTAAATGAGCGGTCTTGTAATATGAGTAGTTTGTTTCCAGAACGAATTATGCTTGCAAACCAAGGTATTACTGTATATTTCAGTAATGAACTTGGAAGACTTAGCAGGTGCTTTAAACTTGGCCTTATGGATTATTGTAAGACTTTGACCTTGATGGAGCCAAAATAGAGCTGTACTCTGATTTTACCGCATCTCTGATGACTATTTTATGCACAGACTACTTAAGGCACTTTTTTTGTGCAGTGTTGGGGAGACATCAGTAGATTTTTTTTTTCTTTTTTCAGATGCCTGACCTGCTTTTTTAGGATGTAATTAGAATGTACTGAAACGCTTTCTTACGTACATAATAGTTCAGATAGATAACAGTGTATGTTTGGGGCGCCCAGAGGCTCAGTGATTTTTAGAAGTAATCAGAACTCAGCAAAGCTGTTGTCCTCATGGTTTCAGTTTATCACAGCGAAAGCATACAGATTACAATTAGCAGTAGAAAAGGTGCATAGGACAGAGTCCAGGAGAGATCAGGTGCAGCCTTCTAGTTGTCCTCTCCCAGTAGAGTGACACGGACATGCCACGTGGCAGCCAACCTGGGACGGTCAACCACACCTCACTGTCCGGGGTTTGTTCTGTAGGTTTGGCCAAGCTTAGTTCTCCAGCCCCTCCAGAGGTCAGGCGGCTATTATGTGGCCCAGACTATCAATCACATTGTTAGCATAAACTCTCTGACATGATCCAAGGCCTCAAGTAAACAAAGATACTCTTTAACAGGCAGAGTAATAAAGGTTTAGAGGTTCTTTTCCAGGAGTTCAGCACAGGCCAAACCTTTCTTTGGGATGTGCAGGGTTTGGACAACCCAGACCTGCTGAAGTAATCCATAATATCCAATGTTCTTATAAATCAAAATAAAACGTGTTAAGGACCCCTGTGTATGCTCCCGTAAACATTATGGTTACTCCTTTAGCAAGCAGAGAAAATTGAAAGCTGAGCTTGCAGGGGAAGTAGCTATTATAACTAGAGGTAAGGTGTTGTGAACTGCAGAATACCTGAAAGTTTCAGGAATTAGAAACCATTTCAAGAATTAGACACCATTTGCCTCTGACGGCAGGGGTGTAAAATAGAGCTGGAAAAGGATTATTTGAAAGTTTTAAAAGGAGTTCTTAGCCCCTAGCTCCCTAATTATCATGCCAGTGCATCCTAGCTACTGTCTTCCTTTTCCCAACAGAAGACCAAAGTTAACCATCTGGAGGGATGAATTAGAGACGATTTGAATTTTGGGAATACCACAGGAGTGGCTGAGGGAAAAGCGCAGAGGTCATTCTAAAAAATGAGAGTGGAGGATAGAGGGCAGTAAGTGACAAATGCATTCTGAATATTGAGACCGCCTTTTCCTGCCTAGTTCTCAGAATTCTGGCAGCCAGGTGTGTATTCAATAAGATGGAGAATGGAGGACTTGTCTCTGGGGAGACCGGCCCAAGAGAAGAGACCTGCACTGTTCCTCAGTGAGACACCCCTGGGTTTCACCTGATCTCCCTAAGATGAGGCTCCGCCAACAAGCCTTGCTGTTTCTCTGACAGCCTCTGATTGTCTTGAGGGCTTCACTCATGTGAATAGCAAACCAAAGATCACTGGACATTTAAGAAAAGCTTTTCACATGAGAGAACAAAACAGATGGAAGAAAGGAATTCAGAGGATATAGAAACAATACAGGGAGCAGAAAAAATATGTCAAAAAAGAATTCACATCATTGGAGTCACAAAAAAATTGAATTCATGAAATGAGAACAGTAAGTTATAAAAAGGAACATTTACAAAATAAGAAAGAACTCTTAGAAGTTAAACATGACAGAATTTTAAAAGTCAACATTAGCATTGGAAGATGAAATTGAGCAACTCTCTCAGTAGGTCAAAAAGATCGAGAAAACAAACAAAAACAAATGATAAGATTAATCCAGAACATCTAAGAAATGATGAGATAGGTATTTTAGAAAGAGAACAGGGAAAATAGATGAAAAGAAGTTAAAGAAACAATTCAAGGAAAATTGGATAAAACTTAAAGGATGTGAGTTGCCAAATTGAAAGGACTTGCCAGGAATCCAACACAATGAGCAAAAGAAAGACTCCTGAAATTTTAGAAAAATAGGCATAAGAAACATCTTAACCACCTCCCCTCACCCCCATCCATGATCTTAAAAGTTTACAGAGAAGACAAAAGGGTTCTAACCAAAAGATTGGGCTTGCACATAATGGCTCAACAATAATATTGGAAAGTGGAAGTGGAGCAGAGGCTTAGCATTATATTGTATATCCAGTCAGATAATGAAATCTGAAGGTAAAGATATTTTTAGGCATTTTTCAGGCTTCTACTGGAAAATATGCTCCAGCACAAAAATGGGAAGAGAAGGGATTTTGGAAACAGGCTATCTGTCCCTAGAGAGTAAAAGGAAGGGCAGGCTTGGGAGTGTGAGTGAGGGCATCTGCAGGATGATGGCTGCGGATGGAGAGAACACAAGTCCAGATTCAAGGAGGAGCATAGAGAGCTTCAGGAGGATGTACCAGAGAACACAACGGAACTGATAGTGGACCTGTGTGTCTAATTATATTGAGACAACTTCTGAACTCATAATTTAGAAGTAAATTCGTAATTGTTACATGAAAAACTAAGCAAAGAAACAAAAAAACCCAAATCTTCACACTAGTTGTTAACAGCAGGGTAAACAAAAATTGTACAAAGTAATGTAATAATTATAAGAAAAGCATATGAACTATATTGGGAGACTGTGGGTCAGAGAAATGGACGTGGAGATGAGTGGATAGTGGCATAAGAGAGCCTAATTATCTTAACTCTTGAAGAATATAGTAAATATCTAAATTTAAAAATAATCAAGAACTAGCACTATAAGCTATGTTTAGAAATGTGGTAAATAGAAAAAAAACAGTTGAAAGAGTTTAAGTAATTGCCTCGGGAGAGTGGGAATTACCAGTGAGGAAGATACGGCAGGTTATTAGATTTTTAAAATATTCAACTTCATTGAGACATAATTTATATACAATAATATATACCTGTTTTAACAGTACAGCTTGATGGGCTTTGACAGATGTGTGCACCTGTGTAATAATTACTATCAAGATGTGAATATGTCCATAATCTCAAAATGGTTTTCTTGGGTTCCTCTTTGGTCAGTCCATCTGATTCCTTGGTCCCAGGCAACCACTGATTTTCTTTTAGTAATTATAAATTAGATTTGACTTTTCTAGAGTTTCATTCAAATGGAATAATAATGTGTATGATATTTTGTTGCTGGGTTTTGCTCTGCATACTGTTTTTGAGATTCATCTGTGCAGATTGCGCTTAATTTTTTTTTCTTAGTAGCATTGCATTGTATGGATATACTGGGATTTGTTTTGTTCAGTCACCTGTTGTATATTTGTTCAACATTTGTTCCAGATTTTGGCTATTATGAATAAAGTTGCTATGTACATTTGTGTACAGGTCTCTGTGTGGGCACATGTTTTAGTTTTAGTTTTGACACTTTAGTCTGTGATTTTAGTGAGTTAATCTTTTGTTTATTGTATAAAGTAAGTGTTGTGCTTCATTGTTTTCCCCATAGGGCTTTCTAGTTGTTCCAGCACCATTTGTTGAAAGAATTATCCTTTCCCAACTGAATTACCTTGGCACTTTTATTCCAAATCAGTTGACAAAATCAGTAGTTGTTGAGTCTCTGTCTGGACTCATCTGTTCCATTAATTCACATGCCTACCCTTATGCCATTATGACACTGTATTGATTCCTTTAACTTATAGTAAATTTTTAAATCAGTTAATTCCTTCAACTTTGTCCTTTTTTAAAATTATTGTAGCTGTTCTAGGTCCTTTGTCTTTCTAGACTTTGCTTTTCTTCGAAAATAAAAGGTTACTTAATTTTGACTGGGATTTTATTGAACCTCTAGGTGAATTTGGAAGAATTGTCATCTTTTTTTTTTTTTTTTCTTTAAGATTTTTATTGGGGAATTGGGGGATGGGAACAGCGCTGGGGAATTGGGGGAAAGGGAACAGACAAGTTGCTGTCGTTTTGTTTTTCAGTCTAGTTGCGGAGGATGTTGCTTCACTGGCCCAAGTTGGCACCATCACTGTGCTCTTCCCGGGTGAGGTAGATCAATCGCTGGCTTCTGGACGGCTGCTCACAGCAGCTGCTGGCTGCTCACACTGGCTGCTGGCTACACACGTTAGCCCATGGCAACCCACTGCCGCAGGGGCTGCAGCCTATGCCGTCGCCGGCAACTCATGGCATCCCAGCTCCAGGTTGAGCTGTTGTTCAGCATCTTAGCTGCAGAGGGCAGTGTCACTGGCCCTCATGTGAGGGATCCGAACTGGGGCCCTCTGGCTTCCCAAGCCAGTTCTTAACCAATGCGCCACTCGGCCGGCCCAAGAATTGTCATCTTAACAATATTTAGTCTTCCATGAGCATGTTATATTTTTCCACTTATTTCGGTGTTCTTTAATTTTTCTCAGCAGTGTTTTGTAGTTCTCAGTATATAGTTCTTATGCATATTCTGTTACATTTATATTCCTAAGCGTTTCATGTTTTTTAATTTTAGTACTATTATAAATGGAATTGTTTTTAGATTTCCATTCCAGTTTTTTATTACTAGCATATAAAAATATATTTGATTTTAGTTTGTTGAACTTGTATCCCATGACTTTACTGAAGTAATATATTAGTTGTAGTGGCTTTTTTTTTTAGATTGCTTAGGATTTTTCTTGTTACAGAGCCATGTCCTCTGTGAATAGAGACACATTTTCTTTTTTGATTTTTTGCCTTACATTCTTTTTCTTATTTCACTTCTAATACATTGTTGAAAAGAAGTGATGGGAACGGACATACTTGTTCTCAGCTTTAGGGTTAAGCAGTTAGCCTGTTACTATTAAGTATGTTGTTAGCAGTAGTTGTTTTGAGGATGCCCTCTATCAGGTGAGGACATTTCCTTGTACTTGTGGTTCATTGGAAGTTTTAATCATGAATGGGTGCTTCATTCTGTCAAATGTCTACATCTATAAAGATTGTTGGATGATGTTTTTTCTTCTGTTGACATGATAAATTACACTGATTGGCTTTTGAATGTTAAATCCGCCTTATATTCCTGGTTAAACTGCACTTGGTCATTGTGTCCTTATAGATTGCTAATTTTTGTTAAGTAATTTACATCTGTGTTTTTGAGATATATTGGTTTTTAGTTTCCTTGTGATGTCTTTGCCTGGCTTTGGTGTCTGAGTAATGCTGGTGGCAAAAAACAAACAAACAAAGAAAAAAACCAAGTTGAGAAATGTTTTAATAAATTGTGTACTGTTGAATAGATTTTTGATACTCCACAGTCTACTATTAAATAATTCAACTGATATATAATTAAATACTCTGCTATTGTGTTGCTTAGACTCCTTGGGTTGTAAGAAACTCAGTTCAAACTAATTGATATAAAAATATTTATTAGCTTAGTGACTGTAAACTAGGGCTTCAAGATTGGCTGAATCCAAGTCTGTAGATGTTATTGTCAATAATATGTATCTTTCCTTTTCTCTTTCCTTTCCTTATTTAGTTTCTCCATGTTGGAAGAAAGTTAGCTCCCATCAGCTCCAGGATTATATATTGCTTAGACCTTGAATTGCAAAATGAGAGGGACCCTCTGTCTCGTATTGTCTATAACAATATGCCTAAAAGGACTTGATTGTCCCCACTTGAATCACATGAATCACATTCACTTTGTCTAGGTCAAGGGCTGACAAAAATACAACCTGTGGGCCAAATTCTGCCTGCAGCCTATTCTTTAAAAATAAGGTGTAAATGGAACAGGCATGCCCATTTGCTTATCGTCTAGGGCTGCTTTTGTGCCATAACAGCAGAACTAAGTAGTTGCTGTAAAGACTGTATGGACTTCAGAGCCTGAAATACTTACTTTAAAGAAAAAGTTTGCTGATCTTTGGTCTGAGAGTAAGGGGTTCTCTAGCCAGGCTGTGTTAATTGGTTGTGGATTCAGAGCCCCTTGATTGACAGCTCTTATCATAATCACAGTGAGGGAAGGGGATCTGTTCCCCAAAAGATTGTCAGTTCCTCCAAGGAAAGAATGCCAAACCAGACACCTTCCTCCCCAATAAAAAGAACTTGTCTGTTATATCCAATTTTTTCTTCTGTTGTGTAGACGCTGAGGTTAAACTCTATTGTGTTTTCACACTGATAAAAATGTTAATAGAATAGTACACGAATATATTAGATGTAGGAGAATGTAAGGATATAGTGATAGAATCCCTAAATTACAGTATGAATAATGTAAATTGATGGATTATAATTTTTCTTTCGCAGATGATGAAACATGCTTGGGATAATTATAGGATATATGGATGGGGACATAATGAACTCAGACCTATTGCAAAGAAAGGACACTCCACTAATATATTTGGTAAGTTTACTTTGTCTAATTACTATTTCCATTTTTAAAAGAGGATCTAACTTTCTAAATATTTTCCAAAGCCTGAGTATTTTTATGGAATTATAATTTGAAGAAACACTTTTTTTTTTTTTGCCAGTTTCTATTAAGATTGGTTATGGTTGCTTTGGAATACACAGATGTGTGGTAGATTTTTTGTTTACATACAGATGCTTTAGTCATTTATCTGAGTATTTTGAAGACTTTTCTGCATTTTCTTCTTTAATACTGGGAAGGTAGGTACCTATTTGTAATTCTTTTTCTTCAGTACAATACCAGTCCTGATACTCACATATTACAGAGGATATGGGGAAGGAAAGGAAACTCCAGTAGGGCTATGTACAAGCATACCTTGGAGATACTGCAGGTTCAGCTCCAGACCACCAAATAAGGTGAATATCACAGAAAAGCAAGACACGAATTTATTGGTTTCTCAGTGCAAAGAAAAGTTATGATTACCTATAATGCATTCTATTAATTGTGCAATAGCATTATGTCTAAGAAAACAATGGACATAATTGAAAAATACTTCATTGCTAAAAATTGCTAACCATCATCTGAGCCTTCAGCGAGTTGTAATCTTTTGCTGGTAAATGGTAAAGGGTTTTGCCTCAGTTGATGGCTGCTGACTAATCAGGGTGGTTGCTGAAGGTTGGGATGGCTGTGGCAAGTTGATAAAATTAGACAACACTTAAGTTTGATGCTTCGATTGGCCCTTTCACGAATAATTTTCTCTGTAGCACACACGTGATGCTGTTTGATAGCATTTTACCCACAGTAGAAATTCTTTCAAAATTAGAGTCAATCCTCTTAAACCCTGTCTCTGCTGAATCAACTCAGTTTATGTAATATTCTAAATCCTTTGTTGTCATTTTAATAATCTTCACAGCATCTTCACCAGGAGAAGTTTCCATCTCAAGAAAGGGCTTCTTTGCTTATCTGTAAGAAGCCTCTCTTTATCTGTTCAAGTTTTATCATGAGATTGCAGCAATTCAGTCACATCTTCAGGCTCCACTTCCAATTCTAGTTCTTTGGCTATTTCCATCACATCTGCAGTTATTTCCTCCACTGAAATGCTGAACTCCATGAGGGTTGAAATCAGCTTCTTCCAAACTTCTGTTAGTGGTGATATTTTGACCTCTTTCCATGAATCGAGAATGTTCTTAAAGGCACCTAGAATGGTGAATCCTTTCCAGAAGATTTTCAGTTTGTTTTGCCTGTATCCATCAGAGGAATCACTCTCTATGCAGCTATAGCCTTTTGGAAGGTTCTTAAATAATAAGACTTAAAGTTGAAGTTACTCCTTCAGCCATGGGCTGCAGAATGGATGCTGTGTTAGCAGCTCTGTAAACAACATTAATCTCGTTGTACGTCTCCATCTGACCTCTGAGTGGCCAGGTGCACAGTCAGTGAGCAGTGATGTTTTGAAAGGAATCTTTTTTCTGAGCAGTAGATCTCAACAGTGGGTTTAAAATATTCAGTAAGCCATGTTGTAAACAGATGGCTGTCATCCAGGCCTTGTTCCTTTTATAGAGCACAGGCAGAGTAGATTTAGCTTAATCCTTAAGGCCCTAGGATTTTCAGAGTGGTCAATGAGCATTGGCTTCAACTTAAAGTCTCCAGCTGCATGAGCCCCTAACGAGAGAGTCAGCCTGTCCTTTGAAGCTTTGAAGCCCGGCATTGACTGTGCCTCTCTAGCTGTGAAAGTCCCAGACAGCATCTTCCAATGTGAGGCTGTCTCATCTGCATTGAATATCTGTTGTCTAGTGTAGCCCTGTTATTATCTTAGCTGGACCTTCTGGATAACTTGCTGCAGCTTCTCCATCAGCACTTGCTGCTTCACCTTGCACTTTTATGTTATGGAGATGGCTTTTTTCCTTAAACCTCATGAACCATCCTCTGCCAGCTTCAAATTTATCTTCTGCAGCGTCCTCCCCTCTCAGCCTTCACAGAATTGAAGAGAGTCAGGGTCTTGCTCTGGATTAGATTTTGGCTTAAGGGAAATGTTGTGGCTGGTTTGATTTTTCATCCGGACTGCTACAATTTTCTTCATATCAGCGATAAGACTATTTTGCTTTCTTATTGTTCTTATCACAGCGCTTTTAATTTCCTTCAAGAACTTTTTCTTTGTATTCTCAACTTGGCTAACTGGCTCAAGAGGTCAAGCTTCTGGCTTATCTTGGCTTTCATTATGCTTTTCTTACTAAGCTTTTGATTTAAAATGAGAGACATGTGACTCTTCCTTTCACTTGAACACTTAGAGGCCATTGTAAGGTTATTAATTGGCCTAATTTCAATAAGGAAGAGCAAAGCCCGAGGAGAGGGAGGGAGAGAGACAGGGAAGGCAGGGCAGCCGAGCAGTCAGAACACACACATTTATTGATTAAGTACTCTGTCTTATATGGGTGCAGTTTGTGGTACCCTAAAGCAACATCAAAGATAACTGATCACAGATAACTGTAACAGATATAATAATCATAAAAAGTTTGAAAGAATTACCGAAATGTGATACAGAGACACAAAATGAGCAAATGCTATTGGAAACACGATGCCAATAGACTTGCCTGATGCAGGGTTGCTACAAACCTTCATTTTGTACAAAATGCAGCACCTGTGAAGCACAGTAAGGCGAGCACAATAAGACAAGGTATGCCTGTATATAAAACAACTTAACATGGCCAAGGTGATTTGTTTGGCAAATTGGGTGGGTTATGTTGTACATTCGCAGGTAGAAGGGAGACATTAAGCATATGGGTGTGCACGGAGGTCTGGGGAAGAGCTGTATTTGGCTTGAGTTCTGTCTAACTTTCTGCCTCTGTTGAATTCTGTCCATTTGTTAAACCTCTCAGTTTCAAAGAGTAAGTTAACTTACTTAACTAACTTTAATTTAGACCAAGGATAAGTTTTAAGAATTATTAAGCTGTTCTTTATAGTCTTCACTTCTTCCCTCCAGTTTAAATCCTTGTTGATGTGATGGATATCTTTTAAATACTGATAGATGAAGGCAAGAAAATATTAATGGGGTAAGAATACCTCATAAACTAGTCAGATGCAATGCAGTTAACTTTAAGTATATCGTACCTACCCCTTACTAATCTAAATAATAGCATTTTTTTTTAAAGATTTTTATTGGGGAATTGGGGGGGATGGGAACAGTGCTGGGGAATTGGGGGAAGGGGAACAGACAAGTTGCTGTCCTTTTGTTCCTCAATCCAGTTGTGGAGGACGTTGCTTCACTGGCCCAAGTTGGCACCATCATTGCTCTCTTCCCAGGCGAGGCAGATCAGTCGCCGGCTTCTGGATGCCACTCACTGCGGCTGCTGGCCGCTCACGCTGGCTGCTGGCTACACACGGTAGCCCATGGCAACCCACTGCCACAGGGGCTGCAGCCTACGCCGTCGCCGGCGACTCACGGCAGCCCAGCTCCAGGTTGAGCTGTTGTTCAGCATCTTAGCTGTGGAGGGCAGTGTCACTGGCTCTCATATGAGGGATCCGAACCGGGGCCCTCTGGCATCCCAAGCGAGTTCTTAACCATCGCGCCACTCGGTCGGCCCTAAATAATAGCATTTTTATTTGAGTGTGAAACTATGGAAGAATTTTTCTAATGCTATGATTTCTCTTATAATTTGTTTTTTTGCTTGATTGTTTTTTGTAAAAAAGAAAATAACTGAAAAGGTAATTTCTCCTAGGTTTGAAAGATGTTGGGATGGAGGAATAATGGAAAAACATTTTTAAAATTTATGTTATAATTAAAAAAATTTTTTAAATTATGAGACACCAGAGATCTCATTATATGACATTTAATTTAGCAGCGATCACTTAATGAAATAAAGTCTATTTCCTCAGCAGAAAATTTCCCATTGCTTTGTGGATGCCAGTGTGAGACATTAGTGAAGTAAAAGCCATTATATTTAACGGTTAATTAAAATTAGAGCCTCTTTTCTAGTAAATGTTCCTTTATATTAAATTTAGTGGTAAACTATGAACCCTTTTAAAGGATTGGAGTATAAATGTATACTGAAAATAAGAATTGGATATTAATTTTCTACTTATTTTTTTTAAGAACACTTAGTCTCAGATCATTTAGTGTATTAACATTTATCAAATAGATGCTGGTCCTAGGCAAGGTACTACATAAATAACATAAATTACTTCATTTGATTGTTGTAGTAACTGTGTAAGGAAAGATTGTTTGCTGAATTTAAATTCAGAAGACAAATAAGCTTTCATGTAACTTGAAAGATTTCATTTCTTAAAAGTCAATACAAGTCTTTTCCTTAAGTGAGCAAAAGGACTTTTTCTTTCTTAACTGCATGTAATTTTGTTAAAATCCTAATGGAGAAATTTTGACTTAATGTTTTTTCTTTTTAAAAATAATAGTTTTTTTTTTGTTTTTAAAGAATGAAAGGCAGTTTTAATTTCTGGTAATTTTGTCAGACTTCTTCAAATGTAAACTCTGTAGATCCCTCTTTGGGTAGGTTGGTGAAGGATGACTGGGCATGGGAGGTTCAGATTATTGCCAGGTGGGTTCTTGCCAGCTGGTCATTATGAGCACTTAAGTGAATTTACTGGGTAAACTTAGAGTTATTTGTGAGATCATAGGAGTCAAAGGAGGTTAGAGTTGGAAAGGGAGAGTCTACAAAATGAGCCCTTTCATTCTGAGTTAACTGGGTACAGAAGCAAGATTTTCCCAGTGGTCCTCCATTTCACAGGGATCCTTATGCATATGAATAGCCGTTAAATATATAGTCCAATAAAAAGTTTTATTTTCTTTGCTACCCATCTGACGTGAGGTCAGTTATTCGCTTTAGATTCTGTAATTCAGTTTGTGAATCAGACTTTATTTTCCTCTAGAACAATAGTCGTATAAACGTCAGTAATAAAAACATGAACAGTGTTTATATAGTTGATGCTGCTGTGGACTGAGTTGTGTCCCTCACAGATTCATATGTTGAAGCTCTAACCCCAGTGTG